AAGTCTTCCAGGGCCAATGGGCCATAATGTGGTGTCCAGGGGCCTGCATGCCCAACTGCTCAGAGGCCTGCATTCAGGACTGCTCCCGGCCCTGGAAAAGGATGCTGAACCTCTATGAGAGGGGCCTCTGCCCTGATTGCCTTACCAGGCTCCTTCATGCTTCCCAGTGAATGAACAGAAGGTGAGCCAAGAAGAAGGGCAAGCAGAGGACATGAGGAAACTTACCCTCCCTGGGAGCATGGGCCTGCCAGACCTGCTCTGCCAACCCCTTGCTCTTTAAGGTTCAATGCATAAAGGCACTTATTTTCCCAGCTGTGTATCAGGCTTCAGGCTGGAGCTTTAAGACTGAGAGTCTTAAAGAGATTCCCCAAGCACCTGTATCTAGGCCACTCTGTCACACGGGAGGCTGTCATTGAAGAGAAACTCGCCCAAGCTCAGAACGACTGGGAGGAGGCAGAGGGACAAGAGTCACAGAGGACGCAGATGCAACCAAACCCCTACAACCACCAGGAGCTAGAAAAAACAGCGTGTGGAAGTTGTACAGCCTCCAGGCATACTCCTCCTCCTTCTGTCTCTGTGGCAGGCCCTGTGTGGGCAGCTCCACATCTAGAAGCCTGGAAGTCTTCTGGGCACAGGCCAGAACAGCTCCCTTTATGCACAAGCCTTCAAAACAGCGTGGATTTATTGTGGCTCTTAAGTGGCCCAGGCTAATGGCTTGGCATGGATAATGTCTCAGTTTAATTGGTGATTGTGCGAGCTGCTTGTTTCTACTGTACAATCCCTTGTTGCTGGCTCTGGAGCAATTTCTCACAGGCAATTGGAGTCGATTCGGTTTTCACTCAGGCCTGCAGCTTGAGGCAGACATCACCTTGCTGCAAGATCCCATTCCAGGACATTTCACACATCTCCAGGGACAGCGGGCTCTGAGGTCAAGGCTCCGGCTCTTGATGACACTGCACCTACGGTTTGTGTGTGTCTAGATGTCTATGTGGCCAGGGAGGTGTGGACAAAAGTCACCACTGTCAATAACCAGCTTTTGAGGAGGTCACTGCAAGGCAAAGTAAGAGCGGAGGTAAAAGCCAAACCAGGAAACCATAGCAGAACCTTTTTATATACGAGCAGAACTATTTCAGCAGAATAACAGGTGGATTTATCCAGAGCCTCCACAAGCCCCCGGGAATAGGGGAAGGGAAGACAATCTCTGCAAAGGAATGCAACCTTTATACTTCTAAGAACAAAGAGCATAGATGATCCTAATTTTCATTATGGCCTCTCCTTCCAAGGTCATGATATTTTTTCTTAAGTCTCCCTAAATCTTTTGACCTTAAATCTAGTTGGCTCCTAGCCTGTCTTTCAGAGGTGTGTGAAATATCACAGTCGTTGTGATCCGAAAGCAGCTTATGGAGAAGCTGTTTGGGAGCAGAGCATAGGATGTCCTGAAGACATGCTCCCATGCCAGTCTTCCTGAAATGGACCAGGAGCTGGGCCAGGCAGGCCAGGGATTTACCTGAGCTCATATAGCTCCTGACAGGACAGATGTAGGCCTACGATATTGAGTGAGTGCTCCCAGGAAGATGACAGGAGGGAAACATTGAACTTTGCATCCATATTTTATTGATTTGCATGTCCATTATTTTCACATTTTGCATCTCAAACCTATTAACCAAAAGGATTTAATGATGAAAGGATCCAGTTAAACCCAGCTTTCTGAAGTACAAGTGACAGCAGTCAGTTTATCTTTTTACCAGACTTTGGGTCCAATTAAGAGGAAGAAAACCATCAGGTTTCTCATTGTTCTGTGCCACTACTTTGCGTCTTTTCTGATTAAGGGAGAAGTAGAGGGCTTAAGAATATAGAGAGCAACCAGCACCAGTGACTCACACCTGTAATCCTAGCTACCCAGGAGGCTGAGATCTGAGAATCATAAGCTAGCCCAGGCAAGAAAATCTGTAAGAGTCTTATCACAAATTAATTACCAAAAACTGAAAGTGGAGTTGTGGTTTAAGTGGTAGAGAGCTAGCCTTGTGCACAAAACCTCAGGAACAGCACCCAGACCCTGAATTCAAGCTCCAGAACCAGCACAACAAGAAGAAAAGAAAAGAAAAGAAAAATATAGAGAGCACAGAGGTCTTCTGACCTCACAATCACTAAAATGGCACTTTGTTTCATTTTTTCTCTCTAAGCTATTTCTGATGCTTTTTCTCAAGAGTAAGTACTCTTGCCATGACTTTTGAGGTTGTGGCAAAAAAAAAAAGTCTGACCCTTTTCCTTGGGCTGCTCTAATACAGAATTTAAATGAAGTATTAGATTTCTTGACTTCAAGGTCATGGACAATAGGCAGTTAAAGCTTTTTATCTGCCAGTTTCTGCCAAGAAAACTGATAATGCTCGGCTATCCTCTAGCTGACTATGTTGATTGTAAGGATGGGGTGTAGATTGTACATCCTTGGGTACAATTACCTCCCCAAATACAATGCATCTTCTTTCAGACATCCCAGGGAGATAATTTGGACATACTGAAGATCTATAGTAATCAGATAATTACTATCGATTGCTCTTTAGACGTCTTGATGAGGTAATTAGGACATACTGGAAAGAAGCTAGAACTGATTGATTGGCATGCCTGTAATCTCAAAGATTTCTAATTATGTTTCTTTTCTTCTAATGGTTTATAAACAAACATCACTTTAGCTTTAGAATTTGTCAGGTGCCAGGTTCACTGGGAACATCGGCTTTCTCTATTATGCTAACTAGACATGGAACATGATCAGCATAAGCTCATTACGCCTTCCTGCCGAAGCAGAAGAAACTGCAATTAACCCTCCCTTCTCTCGTTCTGCATTTCCACACAGGGCTGACTTCTTGTCACAGAATGGGATGTGCAGTGTCAAGAAGGTGGTCTGGGAAGGCCATGTGGGACCCTGAGCTGGGCGGATCGGCATCTCCCCTTAACCTCCAGGGATATTGGAGGCCTGCTAAGTCAGGCACAGCGGTCAGGACCCAGTGACACAACATGTGTGTCAGAGTAGCCAACGGACTGCTCAGCTCCTGTCAGGAAGAATAGCTACTCATCACCAGCCGCAGTAAAGAGCAGGTCAATAGCACCAGGCAGCTAAGCCACACACTTACTCTATCGGGGTACTCTTGCTTTATGTCATCCACTAGACTAATTACAGGACTTCCTGTTGGAGACCACATTCCACATGATCTCTGTATTTGCTATACCTGGTAGGACCTTTCAGCAGCTTGGTTTTTGTTGTTGTTGTTTTATTTTTATTTTAATAGCCTGATCTAAAGGCTAAGAACCATGAAAGCAGTAGCTTGCCATGAGCTGTTTATATCTAATTAATGCTATTGGTGAGTTCAGCATTCATTGGACCATGAGTGTGTGGGTGGACGTTCATTCAAAACATGAGAACATCAAAGGAGAGGGTAACAATGCTTGACAAAATTTTCTCATTACCTTACTCATGTAACTGTAACCCCTCTGTACAGCATCTTTACAATAAAATAACATTTTAAAAAGCATGAAAAATATACATTTCTGGGCATCAAGGTATCTGATGGATACTCTGGACTGTGGAATGTGACTGGACATTCTTTTTGTGATTTCTTCTGCACATGGTTCCCTGGTCGATGCCTAGGACATGCAAGTGGCATTCTGACTGAACACCTCTGTTCTTGAATTCCCTGAGTTCTATTTCTTAAAAAAAATCATCAAAAAAGAAAGATCATATTTTACTTTTACATTTTTGTAATAAAAGTCAATGTTTTCCTGGACCTCCATTTAAAAACAAAGAAAGAAAAATCACAAATTATACTTATAGTTACCATTAAAATGTTGAAGGCTGGAGAGCTATGAAATACAATGGACAGTTCAACCAAGAAAGAAAACCAGGATATTATGTCCAATAATAACTGACAGTGTGCTTGTGTTTGGATAATTACAGCTGTAGTTGGAAATGCTTCATTAGCTACCATTAACGAGCTTGAGACATGGAAGTGGAGATGGAATTTGTCTTCCTGTAATATCTTCATAGTGTACATAAAATAGGGAACAAGTTCTTCTCAGTCACAGCTCTTGAGAAGTGGGGGTGTTCTTTCCAAAGTTTAATTTCAGCAGCTGTTTAGATCAATATTTGTTGTTTAAGAAATGGACGAATCAGCAGCAGAAAAATTCCCTCTGAAAGGACCTGTAAAGAGCATATTCCAGAACTTTAGTAATTGGCAATTAGAGGCTGGCTCGTTTTAAGCAAAAAGTTAATGCGTTTGTGTCCATGTGTACTAAAAGTGAGAAGACTAAATGTCTGAAATGCACTACAGGTTTTTTTCTCTTCATCATTTGCCACCTCCTTTAAAAGTTCATTAAAAATCTACTGTATCTGTTTTTTTTTTTTTTTTGGTCGGTCATGGGGCTTGAACTCTGGGCCTGGGCGCTGTCCCTCAGCTCTTCAGCTCAAGACGAGCGCTCTACCACTTGAGCTACAGCGCCACTTCTGGTTTTCTGGTGGTGTATTGGAGATAGGAGTCTCACGGTCTCTCCTGCCCAGGCTGGCTTTGAACCACGATCCTCAGATCTCAGCCTCCTGAGTAGCTAGGATTACAGGCGTGAGCCACCAGCGCCCGGCTACTGTATCTGTTTATATGCATATTTTAACCTCTTTCCTCTTATTGAAGTTTCCTTTTTATTGATTGGTGGTTCTGGGTGTTGATGAAAAGAAATCATCTATTTGCCAATCATGGGGGGTGGGGGGGGATGAGGGTGGAGCAGACTAACTGGACAAAATGGACAAGTCAGCTTATTGGAGACCCCATCCTCTGTAGGAAGGAGGAGCTGTGGTGTGAAGGAGCCTCTGGGTCTGTTGAACAAGGGGTTCTCAGTGTTGTCCCAGTGTGCTTTGCTGTGAGGAAGCACTGTAGAGACTCACCCATTGGTGACAGAGGAGCTAACTCAAGTGAGGCAGGTTAATAATGTGTTTTGTTCCCGGCATGTCGTTGTAGGAAGTTTTACAGCTTGAGCGGCAGCTGGGAGGGCAACTTCTGGAGGAACCCAAGGCTCTCCATTTTAAAGGCAGCAACCACAACCTGCGCCTGTCCATTCACGACATTGCCCATTCCCTCTGGAAGAGCAAGCTGCTGGCTAAATATCAGGTAAGGCTGCCAAAAGGAACCAGAGGCTTGGGGACAATTCGGAAAGAGGGTGGACATTATTTATCACCTGAGAAATCTTCTGCCTGGAAATTGCTTTTATATCAATACTTGTTTTTTGAAATGAGTTTGGGGTCATTCAAGATTTCTTATTGAAGAATATATGATGGACATATGTAAAGGAATGCATCTTGGAAACTTTTCCTTAAAATAGCTATACCATCATTGACCTATTTTTAGTAAAACAAAAAACAAAAACAGATTTCCAGTTCTAGCATGTCAGTTAACTTTTATTGAAAACGATTTCACTGACATTAACTGAATTGATAAGTATGGCTGCGAATGTATTCATAGGCAAAATAGGATATTGTTATTCCATGAAACACAAATCAGGTTGCTAGCATAGCAACGCTAACTCTGAGAAGTGCGAAGGAAACCCCCCCCCCCCCGTTTGGGAGCTTGAAGTAGCATAGCTAAATAAAACACAACCAGGATTTTATTAAGTAAATATTCATCAAAGTACTATTCCCAAGTCTCCTTGCAAACTCCTCTATCCGCCAGCCTGAACACTCAGGAGATGGTACTGATGAATTGTAGGCCTCATCCCATCATGGAGATGAGACTTGGTCAACATCTGTGAATCTTTCTCTGCAAATCCAACCGCCTTCACCTTGCCACTGTTGTAGTGGGTCCTTCCTGGTCTTAGTCAATGAACACACTAGGAAGGGGAGAGTTCTCAGCCCCATTCTTACTCTTACATGGGCATTTACCCACACATAAATTACAGGATGCAAACCTCTGCCTTTGTTAATAATCACAAGTGTGTTCACTTGGTGCCTAATCTCTGCTTTTATCCACCCCTTCGCCTATATATTTTTTTTTAGATTTCAACATGTTTGCTCTATTGTGACAAGACCCTAGGATGGATAGGAGTCTATCTTAATTTTAGAAAATGAATATCTGTTTCAGACTTCTGTGCTTTTTAAACCAAGCACTTTTCTATAGCAATTAATTTCCAACTGTACTGAGTTTGGGAGGCCCTGTGTCCCAGAAGACAGAGGATAGAGTCATGCGAGGAAATGCAATCCAGCCTTACCCTCTCCATTACTTTGCTTTCCTCCAGGATGTCACAGCAGGAATTTATTTTAATGAGCAATGATGGTATGTCGAGATTTATTTTAGGAACTTTCTAAGTGTTTTTTTTAAATCATTTATTATGACTCCTTTTGCAATAAGGGAGAGCAAATTAGGGTGGACTGGTTAGTTATATGGCTCCTAGAAGCTGACTTCCTGAGTTCAAATCTCGACTCTACCACTGAGGCTGCTGATGTTGAGTGTGTTTTTTAACCTCTCTGGGCCTCAGTTTTGCATGTGTGAAGGGGGATGTGTACAGGGATGGAGCTGTTAGAAGAAGGCTGTTAGCAATGAGGCACAGCGGTGCCAGTGCTCACTCATGCGGGATGATCAATTTCATATCCTATAGGAAATTCCTTTTCACCATGTCTGGAGTGGGTCTCAAAGAAACCTGCACTGCACCTTCACTCTGGAAAGGTTTAGCCTGAACACCGTGGAGCTGGTGTGCAAACTGTGTGTGCGGCAAGTGGAAGGAGAGGGGCAGATTTTCCAACTCAACTGCACCGTGTCTGAGGTAAGGACCCCTATTGTTATTCTTGGAAAGCAGGGGAGAGAATGACTGTTGGGAGGACTGAAAGTGGGGGACAAAATGCAGCATCAGTATAGGCCATAGAGAAGTCCTCCCAAGCTTCCTTACAGGTCCTATTGGTTAAGAGAACATGTTAACGCTCATGGCAAGGTAGATGTATTAAGAACTGTAACAAGAAATCCTTTTTCAAAAATAAGCCTTATTTCTTATGATAACATGGCAAGCTTTTTGTGCCTAAAATCCATAGATCATTAGTAGGATTCCACAGGTTACTCATCCCCAGTAAAGGTCAGAGCAAGAGGATTTCATCGATTGCTGACAGGCTTGCTGCAGGACACAGCCAAACCCATCTTCCAGCTATAGTCATTTGCTTTAGGTTTAACTAGAGAAAGAATCAGTTCAACATCCCTGGGCCGTCATCTATGGCCTCCTCGATCATTATCAAGGGGTTCCACAGAAGTTGTGATCAGGACATCACTTGAGAAGATCAATCTGGTCCAGGATAAGAAAGTCATTGTTGCCTGACCAATGGTTTGGCCTGCAGTATCCATCAGTCCCGATCTTCCTCAATCCCCCTGATGTGGTCAGGTGATTAACTCAGAGCCCAGACCAACACAAATATGAAGGTTGGGATGCCAAGCTTCTCAGCCACTTTTAGTGAATTCATGGGCCCAAATAAAGAGGTTTGTCTAAGCACCTGTCACAACACGAATTTAAGAACCATGTTCCAAGTGTTAAAAAGAGGTCTGAGTATCGGGTGTAACATTTAAGCAGTGTGCACATATAACTTTGGTCTCAGCCTCCCACACTGGCCATCTGCCCCTCCTGCTTTGCCAGTTCCCTCTCAGGGACCCAGTTGCCTTTTCTTTCCCCTAATTATGTACTGCTAAGCAGAGTGGGAAAGGGGGGAAAAAATCTCTTGGTCCTCTTTTCCTCTGCTCCTTCATTCTCTAGGGAGCAGGAGAGTTGTCCTTTCCCCAGGGTGCTAGGGAAAAGTTCCAGAAATAGAAAATCTGCATGCTTCCTCCTGGTAGCCATCAGCTTGGCCTTTCTTCACTCTGAATTTCATGTCTGTCAGTTGGACTTCTTTTTCATCTGTCCATATGTACTGTAATAACAATGATCATTGCTATTTAAAACACCCTAGGAAGGAAATAGGAGGTGCCCATGACTTTATCTGTTCCCTTTGGATCCAAAGGCTGTGGTTTGAAAAAGTGGTAGGCCTTCACAGGGGCGGAACAAAGGAAGACGAATAAGGCGAATGGTCAGAAGGCAGCCTCTTCTGGGCCTCTGTGGGCTCAGCTCCTGGGCCTCTTGCTGGGCCACAAAGCATGGGGTTGTCGTATTTCAACCCTCCAGCCGTCCAGCGTATGATTTAAAATACTACTTCTCCCTCGCTGTCTCATGCATAATGACGGATGAAATAGCAGTCTGTTCAGATTATCTTGCTCTGCAAGATGATTTTCCTCAGCAAACCAGGGCTTGGGGGGTGGAGGGGCGGTGGTAGGGAGAGCAGACAGGCTCTCTGGCACTCCATCCTTCTTTCCCACAGCTCATCGAGGTGCGGTCATCCTGTCCTCCTGTAGTTTCATGAGACTTTTGACTCATAAACAACTTTAGTCACAGACCCCAGTGACATTCATAAGGAATGATGGTGGTGTCAGGGTGCCATGGTAACCGCCAGGCCTTTGGATGCGCTGGCCTATCTCCTAGGCCCACAGCACCACCCCTGCTGGCTCCAGAGGGTGTTTTCACTTTCCAGGCCCAGCAGGTCTGCAAAGTTCAATAACCACCCAGCTCCCGGGACAACAAAGGCTGCAGAATTTTGGAGGGGGGGCAAGGAGCTCTGGTCCTTTGATGCTTGCTTTCTGTTCAGCGTGAACATTTGCTGAGCCCTGAAAGGGTGGATCAGATGCAGCCGCAAATGAAAAGAGAGCTGCTCGCAGCTCTTCCCCCCACCGGGGCTGCCTTCTCCTCACAGAGAAAGCACAGTTTTGCACAGTGTGATCACAATTTAAGGACTTCTTTCTGGTGCCAACGTAGAGGAAAGAAGGTTTCTTTTGCAACTTGGCTGCAGTCCGCCCAGAGACGGCCAGCCTTAGAGTCACGTGGAAGGCCCTCGTCTGCGGGTGACAACCACGTATAACCAAGGAAGGAAAAAGTCCGCAGCCACACAGTGGTGACTCTGCTCTGCTGACTGAGGGGTACTGAATGGCACTATTGTGGCTAGCACCTGAATGAAGTTTGGGGTACCCACAGAAGGGAGGGGCCACTCTGGTCCTGATGAGGGGATCTGTGCTGGAGAACAATGGACTGAGGAGTCTTGACACCCTGATCCTCATCTGAAATTGTGAGACTGGCAAAACATCCACAAAGCGGGGGAGGGGGGGATGGCGCCACTGTGGTTGCTTTCTTCAGTACTCTGCTCCTTCCCGGGTCCCAGGGCAAGGTGGCTGGGGGCTGGAGTCCCAATTCTAGGGTCCTTGCTCCCAAGAATGATCTGGCTTGTGGTGAATGTGTTGTCCTCTCTCCCCAGCCACCCATCACTCAAGGGCCCTCAGCAGCAAGCACTTGTAAAGCCACATGACCCTGTTGCTCTCCAGTCTGGTGGAGGACCAGTTGCTGACCACAGTGAACAGCATGTCCTTGACATGATTATATCAAAAGCTACCAAGGGTTCCTCTGTTTCATTTGCCAGAAAGTCCTTTAAAAACTTCTAACTTGACACAGATACATGATGATTGAATATATTCTTATTTTTTAAAAACCTTTTAGATTTATAGGCAGGTGTGCAGTAATAAACAGAGAGCTACCCATCTCCACCCAGGGCAACACGAGTAGAGAGAAGGAAAAGAAACTTCACTTTTTTCTCAGACCTCTGTTGAATCAATCCTCAAAGACCTAGTATAACCATGTGCCAAGTAGACAGTTCTATAGAAATGTAGGCCATTATTCATGATGCCTAAATTGGTCTGTGGGCTTGTTATGGAAATTGGATGAGTGAATATTAGTAAGTGCTGTGAACAGAATTTAACCAATGGGACCCATTTATGTTCACCATTTTTGTTCTTATTGGGATAACTGGGTTTTCTAGTCAGTTCTTTCAGCCCAATCTGTGGTGTCCATTATCAGCTTTTCAAAGGCTTCACATTTCCTACCGATCAAAGTAGACTAAAAACCCCCTCCATTTCTATATAAACAAATAAAAGCTAAATATAAGCAAAGGCAAATTTGTTCCCAGATTAAAGGAGATGGTATGTGTTTCCAAGTTTGTGTAACCTGGGTTGCTTTATAAAGCTCATGGTTCTGAACCCCAGAAATGATGTGGCTTTAGAGGAACTAGTTATCATCTAATAGTAACTTTCCAGATTACAGTGAACACTGTCATCATTTCTTAATTTTCCCAGATCATCTATCTTTATTAACAACTGGCCCATAGTAGTTTTATGTGTATGAGACTATTAAAAACATACAAAGTAATGTCACTCCAGGAGAGCTGCTCTTTTTGCAGTGGCATATATTACTTGGACAAAATGCTTTCATTGTGATATTTCCATACATGCATACAAGGCACTTTGATCACATTCCTCTCCTCAATTACTCCTCTAATATCTACTTTCTAAACCATTTTAGTGGTTCCATTATTCTGTTTTCATCAATGTATGTGAAATTCTTCAGCCATGTTCACCTTCCCCTTCTCAATGGAGTCTGCCCCCAAAATATTCCTCATTTTTCACTCATGTCACTTTTTTAGGCCTAGATTTCACATATGAGAATGAATATGCAATATTTGTTAGGCGGGCTTATTTGGTTTAACATGATGCTCTCCAGTTCCATCTATCTATTTGCCTGCAAATGATAATAACTTCTTTCTTCTGTATAGCTAAATAATACCCCATTGCATGTTTGTATATATGTACATATACATACATACATATATATCATATACATGTGTGCATATATAGTCACACATACTTTATCTACTCACCAGCTGGACTGGATACCTAGTCTGACTCTATAACTTGGGTATTATAAAAGCAGTACTATAGACATGACTGTGTAGGTATTTTCTTGACCTTCAGCTACATGCCAGTAAATGGTATATCAAGGTAATATGTGGCTCTATCTTTAGTGTTTTTAAGGAAATTGACTTCTACATTGGCTGCACTCATTTACATACCATCAACAATGTATAAGAGTTTTCCCCTCACCCCCAGTGCTGCCCAGCATTTGTTGCTGTTTGTTGTCTTGATGGATTGCTATCCTGACTGGGGTGAGATTGACTCTCAGTATTGTCGCAACTTGCATTTCCTTTATGGCTTAGAATGTTGAACCTTCCTTCATGTGCTTACTGACCGTTTGTACTTGTTTTGAGATTTTGTCTGTTCAATGCATGTGCCCATTTATTAATTGGATTTTTTTTCTTTTGGTGACCAATTTTTTGAGCACTTTATTCTGGATAATACTCAATTATCTACTAAATAGCTGGAAAAGATTTTCTCCCATTCTATAGATTGGTCCTTGATGTTGATAATTGCAGGGGGGTGCTGTGCAGTTCTTTAGTATTATTCGATAACATTTATCCATTTTTGCTCTTAGTTCCTTAACAATTGGAGATCTCTATTCACTATCTATGGCTATAACTTGTTTCCCTTGAGATTTCCAGTAGTAGTTGATCTTATATATTAAAGTCTTTGGTTCATTTTGAATTGATTTTTGTACAGGATGAAGGATAGCTATCTAGTTTCAGTCTTCTACATGTGGAACTCCACTTTGCTAATACCATTTATTTAAGGGGCTTTCCTTTTCTTAGGTACTGTTTGACACTTTTATCAAAAATCAGATGACTATTTTGGATAAATAGATATGTGGCTTATACCCAGGCCTTCCTCTGTATTCCACTGGTCAACATAAACATAGTACATTACTGCTGTAGTTGATCTAGCTATTACCTCTTCCATGGAACATTCAAAATGACTGTTGGAACTATGTGACTCTAGAAAGAGTCAGTAACTCAGGTAGGGATAGGCAACTATAGTTGTAGTTAACAAGTAGCCTGGGGCAGGGTTGTTTGGTTCAGGAGTTCAAAGCCAGTGTGGGCAAAATAATGAGTCTCTATCTCAATAAGTAAATATAGAAGTTGGTGCTAGGGTTTAGGTAACTCAGAGAAATATGCTTAGCATGAGTGAAGCCTGACACGTGTGCCATCACCCGTAGCAGCTGTTTGCCTAATGTTGAAAAATCTAATGTGTAACTAAGGGAATCATTGCATCAAAGACAGATGGCATAAGTGTCATAAACCATTATTATAATAAGCATTCTGTGAGAGCAATGGCTCTTTTTACCTGGAATAAAAGAAAAAAACTAATGGCAACTGAAATTATTACAAGGTATTTAAACATAAATGTATATAAGCAGTTTTCTTTTATCTGCAAGGCTATTATCAGCCTTCTGATAAGAGATATAAGAAATTATGCCCTACAGCTCTTACAGGGCAGAGTAGCCTGGGTTGTAGATCAAGATGTTGCTTCTAACATAAAATGACAATGGTTTTTTGCTCTTTAAATAAAAGGAAAGGAACAACATGTATATGTGGACTAGATCTTCCTAAGATGTATGTCTATTTGAAACTCACTTCAGGATTTAATAACAAGAAGGAACTAGGAAAGCTCCAGTGGCTCATGCCTGTAATCCTAGCTACTTATGAGGCTGAAATCTGAGGACTGTAGTTTAAGGCCTGGGCAGAAATGTCTGCAATACTGCTTCAATGAACCAGCAAATTGGCCAGGGTAGAGATGTAGCTGAAGTAATAGAGTACCAGCTGAGCAAGCAACTGGAACAAATACTGGGCTCTGAATTCAAACCCCATTACCAGCAAAAAGAAAATGCAAAGGACGAATCCCCCAGTCAAATTTAGTTGGAAGGAAGTTTAACACACAAATCTTTGGGCAGAGTTCTATCAGGAGTGAGCATCATCCTTTTCCCACAGTAGGATAAAAGAAAATTTCTCTCATCCAAATCAATTATCAGAGTAGTTTATATGTGCAAAAGCACAATGTTGGTGATCATGCCAATTTGGAGAAGGATAGAGAAGCTCTCTACTTGAAGAAATGCAAGAAATAAAAAGTTCAAAAATCAACTCAAAATGGATTTTAGTCTGGGAAGGTGGCTCAGTGGTAGAATGCTTGCCTTGAATGCATGAGGCCCTGGGTTTGATTACTCAGCACCACACAAGCAGAAAAGGCCAGAAGTGGCACTGTGGCTCAAGTGGTAGAGCATTAGCCTTGAGCTGAGGAGCTGAGAGACAGTGCCCAGACCCAGAGGTCAGGCCTCACAACAGACAAAATAAAATAAAATAATGGATTTCAACCTAAATACAAGACGTAAAGCTGTTAAAGTACTAGAAGAAAGCATGAGGGAAATCAGTTCAAGACTGATTCAGGCAGTGATTTTTCTAGAGAAGACCCCAAAGTGTAGAGTGAAAAAAAGAAAAAAAAAGAATGCAGAACTTGACAACTGGATTGACATCAAAGGAAGAAGTTGCACAGAAAATGAAACAATCAACAGTATAAACACATAATGTTTACTAGTAGTTTATACAATAGAGAATTATTAGCCAAAACACGATTTTAAAAACCCTCAACATTTTTAATAAGTAACCCAATTTAGTAGAATGGTTAAATGATCTGAAGAAACATTTCTCAGAAGAAGAAATAGACACAAAAATGAGCAACCAGTACATGAAAGTGAGCTCTCAGATCTACCCAGTCTGAATAGCTGGCATCAAAGGGTCAAAAGAAAACCAATAGAGATGTGGAGAAAAGGAAGCTGTGCACTGTTGGTGAGAATATAAATGAGTATATAAATCCCAGGATGTATGTCCAAAGGACATGAATTTGGCATGCTAAAGAGATATCTGAATACCCATGCTTATTGTGACAATATTCACAGTAGCTGAGAAATGAACTGCTCAACAGATGAGCAAAAGTTGTATAAATAAATATGTCTCCTTGTGTATGTGCGTGTATGTATAGTGAACAGTATGAATCTGGTAACACAAGGCCCACAGTACCTCCACTGCTACTTAATTAGGGTAGTTTTCTATATATTAGGAGATGTTGTCCAGAAAAGTAGCAAGCAAACTTCACTATGGGTGATAGCTTTGAGTTGTGCTGGCCATATATAATTCTATTCCCACTGTAAGCATTGAGTCCATTGGGTTCAGACATCCCAAGTATAAATCGATTAACAAACGCTGACCTTTTTCCTTAGACCATTCTCCTACTCACCTTCCTTTGAGTCCTAGGCACCCAGAGGTCAGGAACTCTTTTCTCCACCCCCTTAGGAAGAGCTCTGTGCCTAAGGGGGAAAGCTACAGATTGTGATCCTCCTTCTGAGACCCCACCTACGACTGGACATGTTTGTGCCTCATATCGCTGTCCTTTAGACCTGGTATGTGATGGAGCAAATACAAAGGAGCTGATGGAATCCATTGCCAAGCTTTGGATTTTTAGTCTAACACTAATCAGAACCAACATCTGTGTGCATTTTATGGCAAAAAGTAGTGGAGTCTTTGTGTGTGTGTGTGTGTGTGTGGGTGGGTGTCTGTGTGTCTGTGTGTGGTATCTATCTGTACTGCGGCTTGAATTCAGGGCCTGGGCACTGTCCCTTTGCTTTTCTGTTCAAGGCTGACATTCTTCTACTTGCGCCACAGCTCCACTTCCACCTTCTTGCTTGCTAATTGGAGATAAGCATCTCATAAATATTTTCTGCCTGAGCTAGCTTTGAATCATCATCATCAGATCTCAGCCTCCTGAGTAGCTAGGACTACAGACGTGAGCCAGTATGACCAGCTCCCAAAATAGTGTAATTTTGCTCACATACACACAAAAACCTCCAAGCAATCCAGGCCCCAACAGAGCCCCCTGTGTGGTAAAATTATACCAGTGGAGAAGTCAGCTTTAGGTGCTGATTCTGGAAAACTGTGTTTCTGGAAACTCCACTGCTCACATGGGACACAGATGGCTGACATTGCCCCCTGCACCCCACAGTACCAGTAGCAAGAAGGCTTGGTAAAATTTGGGGGACTCTGGACAACAGTGTCATTCACACACACACACACACACACACACACACACACACACACACATACACACAGCTATGTGCCCATCAAGACATCACAGAAGCATTGGCTAAGCCTGTGTGGCTAGTGTGACTAATTCTACACACCAAGGTGTTACCTGTTTAAAAGAGAAAGAGGGAGACATTTATAGTGGATTACGTAGATTTTCTTTTATTGCAACCTTTGCTTTTGCCTTTTTAACCAGCAGAAGCAATGAGAAAAATGATTAGAGAGTTTCTCTTGCGGTGAAATTCAAAATTTTGCATTTGTGCTGTTTTATGAGCTGAAACTATTTTAAGAGCCAATTTATGGTTTTCTCTACTAAAATTAGACTTAAAAAAAAAAGCAAGTAGGTTCAGCAATTGGAGGATGCCGTTAGCATCCAGCCCTACATATACTGTTGACTGTTTTTCTTTTGAAAAATTGTCTTAATTTGCTATTCTGTTCGCCTTGTTCCAGTCCCTCCATTGAGAGCAGACGCCAGCTAGCCCGCTGCTGCCAGGTTAGAGTAGGCCAGGGGGCATTCACCCCCTTCCCTGCAGAGCCAGGTGATTCCTACAGGTTCTCTTTGTCATCCTTCTAATCTCTGATCTGATGCTGGTTCTCATGCAAGTGTTCTTCTGAGCAATTCTCCCCCTTAAAAGCTACACTTTCAGAAGCACCAGCTTTGCCTCTTTTCTCTCTCTCCCTGGAGAATCCCCTCAGGGAATGACATGAGAGTTTTCCCTCCGGCTCTATCCTGAGCAATACAAGCCTATGCAGAAGTAGCTCCAAGATGGCGACCTTCCTCTCTCCCTGGTTACGAAGACTGACTCACCACGTTGAACTGAGGACGAAGCAATAGTTTCTTAAGCAGAAAGAGAGCACTCTTGCTTTTTTGCAAAGCAAGGCCCTATTCAATAGGGATTGCTCTGTCTTCAGAAATAAAGCTGTGCTGTTTTTGTTTGTTTGTTGGTTTCCAGGAGCCTACTGGCATCGATCTGCCCTTGTTGGACCCGGCCAGCACCATCACCACCGTCACAGGGCCCAGTGCGTTCAGCATCCCACTCCCCATCCGGCAGAAGCTGTGCAGCAGCCTGGATGCCCCACAAACCAGAGGCCATGACTGGAGGATGCTGGCTCATAAACTGAACCTGGACAGGTGGGTGGGGCCAGGCTTCAGGGCCAGCTGTTTTCTGCCAAACCCCGGATGGTCTCCCGGGATGGTCATGGTTGGGCACACTACATCCTTCAATTCAGCTGTTTATGTTGTTATTCAGAAAACGTGTGTGACACTGCTTCTTTGAATCTTACGTGAAGGGCTTGCAAACCCAGTTCCAAGAGATATTCTGGGTTTATTTGACATTTATAAAACTTGGTATCAAGTTTTATGATCTACTTTGCCAAATGGATGAGCTAAATCCTTCTAAGGAGGATTTTTCAACCGGCCCTGATGCCGGTTAGCATGCTCACACAACTGGCATGAAACATAAACAGAGCACAAGAGACACCACTTTGCAGAAAGTTGGCATCATAACCAAATAAAAAAAACCACGGCATCAGCTGGGCACGAGTGGCCCCCACCTAGAATCTTAGCTACTCAGGAGGCTGAGATTTGAGAGTCTTGATTCAATGTCAGCCCAGCCAAAGAAATCCCTGAGACCCTTGTCTCCAATGAACCAGCAAAAAGCTGGAGGTGGAAAGGCAGTTCAAGAGGTAGAGCACTGGTCTTGAGTGAAAAAAAGCTAAGCAAGAGCACAAGCCTCATGACTGGCATGAAAAAGAAAAAAAAATGAAAAGACATAGCATGGCACATTAAGACAGTCAGAGAGTCTGAGCTGAAGAGAACACACAAGTCTCTTGATTTCCTGATTAGGATATGACCCATAGGCATCTTGTCTTTTAAATTATCTTACTCTGAGTTGAGGTTAACAAAGTTACACAGCTCGTCTCCTCTGTGGGGCTGATCTAATTAAGTATGGGCTAGTCATTTAGAAGGGTACACTGTAAACCACAATGGAGCTGAGATGCTTAAAGACAGATGCTCTAAGGCAGACCAGTTTAGTGGACTAAAAACAGAAGAGAAAACGGATCCCAAAGGCATGCCTTTCAGCACATTTTTCCCATTCCCCATTTACAGGTACTTGAATTACTTTGCCACCAAATCGAGCCCAACTGGCGTCATCCTGGATCTCTGGGAAGCCCAAAACTTCCCAGATGGAAATCTGAGCATGCTGGCAGCTGTCTTGGAAGAAATGGGCAGACATGAAACAGTGGTGTCTCTAGCAGCAGAAGGGCAGTATTGATTGACCACACTGGAAAATGAAAAACGTGCAGGGAGTCTGTGTCTGTCCAGAGAACAACACACAGCCAGGAGGGAAACCCAGACCCGACCAATGAGCTTTCCAGGCAAGATGGCAACAGAGAGCACTGGGAAAGAGGCCACCACCCATGTACACGCCCACTCTCCTCGGACAGCACCTCGGGAGTTAAGAAAAGTTGTGTAAATTTGTACCTTGAATTTAGAAATCACTCTAATTTTCCTCTTAGTTGGGCTGTATGCTATATGGTACAGGATCTTACAGTTTCCTAGGAAACGCTTTTTATTGCTATCCAGCTCTATGGATAAACTTTCTTAACAAACCCAATTTCTACAAATGTTGTTTACATCAGATTGGACAGGGATGCAGACACTGTCCATGGCTTGTTCTATTTTTGTTCAGATCATTTGGAGTTGAAGCTGTGGACGGTTTGTTGTGTCTATTACAGATTAGTGATTTACAGAGAGATCGCAGACTTTTTGTTGTTGTTGTTTTTTTTGTTTTGGCTACAAATTGTGTACATTGAGTGTCTCAGACAATAGCCAACCCCCTCCCCCCATCACCGTTCCTGTTTCTGGAACTTTGTAGAACCAGTGTTACCGTTTGTATCAGGGAAGTGCTAAGGAGAAATGACTGAGTTCTTAATGCCTTGGGGTGGGATTGGGCTCATTGGATGTCCTTTGGGAAGAAAGCTGTAGCTCTGCAGGGAAGACACTGATTCATCTTCAACCATACAGACATTCCTTCATGACATGTGTGTGTGTGTGTAATATGCTATTACAAGTGCTTTTTAAAGGTATCATTATTATCATTGTTATTGATGCGTATCTACAAGTATTCTAGTAAAATGATTCTCTTTTAGTTTTGGCTTTAGTTAGCAGTACTGTTAGTGCTTGGTAATTGACTAGGCCTATCTCCTACACGTGTGTGACTTGTGTGGATGGGCACCAGTTTAGTTCAATAGGCATTGCTTCCTTGAATAATGACTTTTCTATACCATTCCAAAAAGCCAGTCAATCTTCACTGGCTTTGCCCATCTGTTCTTTCAGCGTGCTCAGGCAAAGCCTTTCTCCTCTGAGTCTTATTATGGGAAGGATAGTCTACAAAGTTCACTTCATCTTGTGATTGTGAGTTCCATCAAACTGGGTGTACCTTAGGGGCAGCACAGTTGGTAGAAAAGTCCTCAAACTGGAAATCAGGACACCGGTTGTTGTCCTGCATTGAAGTCTGTCTACCTGTGCTACCTTGGGAAGGGCACTTCAATCCAATCAAGCTCAGTTTCTAATCAACTGAAATAAGATCATCTGAAGCTTCTCCCACGGTGGGACTCCCATTACCACACCTCCGGTCTCCTCCATCCGTCTGGACTTCACAAGGAACTCTGAGCTGGATCATTCAGATGTGGGCTAGCCTTTTGCCTGGGCTTCTTTACCTTTCCACCAGTGTTGACTTGGAAGAGAATTATTCTAACCTTCCAGATGTTTGTTCAGCTTTCCAGTCTCATCTTTGTATGGCTGTATGATGTTTCTCACTGAGAGATGACATTCCGTAACGATCATTTTCTTGTCCTGCCATGGGACCCCTGCCCATCTAACCTTCTGACTTGGGGCACATTTGACCATGTTATCACCAGTCTTACAAGTGTACCCAGCAGAATGACCTTGGTGTGTTTTGCTATCCCCAAACCCATTCACCTTTATTTTAATAGTACTCACTAGCATTTGCAAAAGTTCATTACCCTTTCTAGCCTATAAAATGTGAGCCAACAGACAACTTTGTGAGGTTTCCTTTGGACCATGGTAGACTCTTTCAGCAGATATGGGAAGAGTCAGCAGATCAATAACCACACCCAAACTGAGTATGAAGCACACACATGCTTGCATCTGAACCCACAAAATAGAACCGACCCTGGTTTGCACAGAGACAGAGAGGAATCGAGCTTGCTGACTGATTTTAGCTGAGAAATTGTTCTGTGCATTTCCCAGCTTCCCACATGTTCCCTCTCCTGTTAAGTTACTTCTTGGTTTTAGACTCATCTTTACTGATAGAGAGACTTTGTTTCCAAGCCTCTTCCTTCATGCCATTTATTTCTTATCTTCTCTGTTTTAAGATATATAGATAGAGTATAATCTTTATCTGATCATCTTGTGCATTGTAATTTCCATATATAAAATTTCCATATTTAAAAATACCTATTCCACTGATTATAGAGGGGAATAAGCAAATTTAGATGATCACGTTTTCACCAGTGAGTTAGAATTAAATTGGAAAACCTTAAACAGATTACTTTTAAGAAGGAAGCGAAGGAAAGAAAAGTGTTGTCCATGGCTATATCTTGAAATAAACTTGCTAAGATTGTTCTTCAGTAGTTGAGTTGTGAAATTACCAATAGAAATCAAGAACTAGAAGTCTGAACTGAATGCTAAAAGGAACTTCTCTGCCTCATGACAAAAACAGAATGGAACAAAGATAGAGTTATCTAGATGAGTCATTTCCAAAACTTTTACTAATTTAAAAAGTCACGTCCACAAGTGATTATTGAGCCTAATAGGCACAATATTGTTGGAAGTGATGCAGGGTTCTTAGGGTTCAAAATCATCTAAACATTCTTGCTTTTAACCACTCAAAAATGCATCCAAAAAAAGGGAAGAGTGATTTCTTGTGAGGTTCTCATCAGTCATGTAAAATATTTTGTTTCTTATCAAGTGCGTGACTGCTGCACATCGCAACAAACCGTATGTCAGATGGTGTCACTAAGAACTGTTAGATTGATCTTTCCAACTTAGAAACAACAGTTCATTTCTTAGGTCGCCATTTATAGGCCATCCTGTGTGCCTGGTCTGGCTTCTGTACTACTTAAGAGGGAAAACTGGGCTTCAAGTGAGTGGGAAGGCTATCATTTGTGCATGGTGCCCTCTAGTGGCATGAAGCACAGTCTACCCTGCAGTTGATACAGCTCACCAGAGGTGGACTAGTGTTTTCACTGAGTACCTGCCGAATTCAACAAATGTAAAGGATTTTCCGCTTCAAATGTATGATTTTTATTATTATCATCGCATTTTTCACTTAAATGACCCATCTCAAACTTTCATGTTATTTTATGTAGGCCATTAACTCTTTCGTATACAAGTCTTAAGATGCTTTCTTGTTCACAGACATGCACAAAAGCTATATAAGTGTCTTTAGAAGGTATCATCTTTAAGAGCTATAATTTCCACTAGGTTTTATGCATTGGAAATCTCCTTCTTCTTAGTTCCCTAATGCTTATCTTTGGCAACATAAGAAGTACCTGCTTAGAAGCCTTGCCTATGCAAATGGAAATACTGTATTTAAGGAAAGGGGAAATGTGGCTGCGATCAAGAAGTAGAAAAGATTCGTTTCTTCTCCATTTGCTAGTCCAAAGGCAGGGTTTCATCCTGGTTCTCACTCTGTTTGTCACATGAATTCATCTTTTCTTGAAGTGCTTCCAGGTACATGATGAAGACAAGCTTGGGGGACAAGTCAGGTCATACAGGGCACAAGACCTTTTACAGACCTCTTCCTCAGCAGCCACCTGCCACAGAAAGCAGGACAGGTCACTTGTCCTGGCGGTGTGTCCAGTTTTATACTGCGTCATATCATTAGCCATTTTCTTTTACTGTGTTTCATCTCTCAGCTATCAAAGAGTAGAGCCATTCTTTAGAGGAAATATCTGGGGACTGCGTTCAGGATGCTCTGTAAATGAGACATTGGGTCACAGGTTTCTGCTAGAAGTCAGATATCTTAAAAGCAAACATCTAGGGCTCACCCTTCACTTCTTCTGGAGGACAGTATGAAGAGTCTGACCTATGCATCTGTGTCTTTGGGACTTGGCAGGCGTATTTATCAGCCACTCATGCTTCTGCAAACAATGGGTAAAGTTGGGGAGCAGTAGGCTGATGGCTTTTTCTGGAACCCACAGGCCTCTGCACCTGTAGTCTTCCCCCGCAGAGGTCAAATGTAAAGTTATAGAGGGACTTCCAAGAGTATGTAAGGAAAATAGGGAAGGGTTCTTGCTGAGTTGTTCAGTCTTCACGTTGAATGTGAAGTTTAGCTTTTGCTGAGCAATTATTCTAGACCAGTCAGTTGATTCACATGGAGACTTCAGTGCTATGCCAGGGCTGGCTTCCTAAAGACAGGAGGGCCACAAAACACGGTGCATATGTAACGAAGCTCCAGCCATGTGCTTTGAGAACATGTTTGCCAATCAGAATATCACTGCTCCAAAACCAATTATTTGTAAAGATGATGACCAATGAGTGTTAGATTTTATAGATCCAATAAGGAAACAAATATTTTTATTATTATCTCAATGTAATAAAACTTTTTTTAATCTTTCGAGTGCCTCATAGGATCAACTATTATTATGTTTCATTTTTGTTTTTATACTTTTTATATTTTTAAAATATCCTGATGTAATGTTGACTGAACTATACCTTTAGACCTTTTCCTCTGTGCAATGAACTTCTATTTCTCTACCCTAAGAGATCTGTTTATCTCTGCTCTGGCTACAAGGATCACTTTGAAAAAGTTGCCCTTGAATTTCTGGTGGTTTGTTAATAGAATACAGAATATGGGAAATATATTGTCACTGGTATTATTTAAGTTCATGTCCATATATCCCAGAGAAGCCAGAATCTGGGATGGAAACTGGTTTTTGAGAAATGGAGAGAGCAATTTCTCTACACAGCCTGTAAACTTCCAAATCCTTTCATCTTACTGGCCATGTAGCTCTGCAGGCTTTAGGAAAACCCTACTCTAAAAGTCTGTCTGCAGAAGAGTTTATGGCCCTTGGATTTCCAGTGAGCTTGACCGCTTCCCGGATCGATCTGTGGTGGGATATTAATGCACTTGTTCAACCAAAGGTATTGTTTGCCTCAGGCCTGTATTAGCAGGGCTGAGAAGGAATCACCAGTTCAAGTCAGCCAGCAGGCCATAAATAGAGGAGCTTACAAAGCCAGGCAGTTTTCACAGGCTGCTCCTCAGTCCTCTCAATACTCCGATGACTATACATTGAAGAGATCTGACCAGAGATATTCCAGGACTTCAGACTGGAAAGCCCTGCAGAATATCATGACAGTCATGGCCTACTAGTTGTGGACAGGAAAAGTAGTTGGGCACCAGTAGCTCACATCTGTAATCGTAGCTACTCTAGAGACTGAGATCTGTGGGTCAAGGTTCAAAGAGAACTTGGCACAGAAAATTCCAATTAATTCCAATTAATCAGCAGCACACTGAATTGGAGATATGGCTCAAGTGGTAGAGTGCCGCCTACAATCAAGCAATTAGAGTGCTAAACCCTGAGTTCAGCCCTGGTATTGACCCCAAAATCAAAACAAGCTAACAAATCCCAAATACAAGTAAGCTGCCCTGAGAATCAGCTCCCCACCAGCATCCCATTGAAGATTGTGCTTTAACAAAGCAATAAACAGCAGGTAATAAAACTTCAGGGTCAGGCTGGGAAGGTGGCTTAGTGGCAGAGTGCTTGCTTTGCATGCATGAAGCTCTGGGTTCAAGTCCTCAGAACCACATATACAGAAAAAGCCAGAAGTGGCACTGTGGTTCAAGTGGTAGAGCACTTACCTTGAGCAAAAGCAGCTCAGGGACAGTGCCCAGTCCATGAGTTCAAGCCCCAGGACTGACCACAAACAAACCTTCAGTGTCCCTTCAAAGTGAGCCTAAAGCC